TCTTTCAGGAGCCTAATTATTGCTAAGATTAAACATAGCTATATGAAATAATAAAAATTTAGAACATTATCTTTATACACAGAATATTGACTCTGTGCATACTTCCCTTCTCTTCTATGTCAAAATGATATTGTAGGATGAGTTCCAGAATACTTGTGAAAACACACAACACCTATTGTCAAAGCCATGACCTAACAGTTGAAGAAATTAAGATTCCCATACTGATTTCTTTGTTTTACTCACCATCTAGATGACCTTGGAAGGTTATTATGAACTCCTTTTGTCAGCTTGCCTTTCTCTCTCTCAGGTATTTTAAAAGAAGTGTCAGGAGAAATTAAGTTGGTTTTTTTAAGAAAAAGATATGCTAGGTTTTGACCTCCTTTAATTTCATTATGTGAATGAAACTCTATAGTCATAGATTTATGTAGATTATACAAATCTATAGTTCATGTAAGCATAAATATGATAGAGAAGACTTAAAGGTTTTTCTTTGACCTTCAAAATCAGAAATTAATACCAGAGTGTGTGGGGGGGAGAATTCTTTGGTTTTATAATATGTTTAACATAAGCAGTATATAAGAAAAGAGTACCAAAATCTGTAAGAGGTTAAATAGCAATGTTGTTCTAACTTTTAATCATAAAGAATGCTTAGGGAGAACATTGAAATTATTGTAAAAAGGAGGGAAAACAGTATAAGAAGAGACACCCACAAAGAGCAAAAAATAGCTGCCTCTGGGAAATGAAATTAAGTGGGGGAAGAAAAAGGTAGGAGAGCGATATAAAGAAGTTCACTTTTATATTATTTTAATCATATCAGCATGTGTTGATTTTTAAAAGACCATTAAAGATACAAAAATTAAAAAAAAATAGTGCAGAGCATGTTAATTCAAATATTCACCCACACCCTGTATCTGTAGAGACTGGTTTAAAATATCATACTTATTAAATAACTGTTTTACCAATCTTGGCATGATTGTTATCCTTCACCGAAGACTTTCCAGACTTACTGACTTCAGAGAAGAATCAAGCAATTAGCAGTGCTGTAAATTCTTGGCAAGAGCTGACTAGACTGAAATCTATCCTGTGGGGATCACCAGCCATGCCTCAGTTGGGGGACTTGCAGCATGGAAATATGAATAAGTGAATAAATGCCAACTGAGGTTAATTTTGGCAGTTCTGATGGTGCCACCCATGACCAACAGGGAGAAAAGAACCAGCTGCAGAGCTAAGTTTTCCCAGTGCCAACCCAGAATTTATGCCATGAAATGAGATTTAAACTTGTTGAGATGATGGAACCAACGGAAAAGTTTCTTATCAGGTGCTAGAGCTTCATCACATTTACTGGATGTTGGGCAAGCCTTAGAAATAATAGCTAATAATTTTCGTGCATCCAACATAAGTTTATACTTCTCTCTGTGAAAAATTTATAGCAGCCTCTTAAAAAATTGAAAGTCTATAGGGAAATACTTTGAAATAGCAATATTAGAGTGGAAAGAAGCCAATCAGGGAAATTTAATTCTCAAAATTAATAACACAGGAAGTTCTCTACTTGCAAATAAAATATTTCCAAAAGGTCATTTGTAAGTCA